TGTTAGGGCTATATATAGTTATTAATCACGAACTACAACATTCACTAATGACTGATTATTATAATCATGTTGCATTCATTTTCCTTATGAACCTTATGCGCAATCACACCATTTCTCTCTACTAATACTAGCAGCGAATATTTTAGCAGCCTTTCACCACATCATTAGTCTTGTACTGACTTGTTTGGTGTGAGCAACAGGAAGTATTTCACTTTCAGAGAATAAGAAAAATAGATTTATTTGCGTTACACTTATTAATTTGTGCAGTTATTCAGTGTCTGGTAAGTTAATGTTCAAGAAAAAATATTAATTTTTATTAAAATGTTCTATTTTATGTTAATGATTACTCATTTATTTCAGCCCTTTGTACTCAGCATCTCTCTATCGAAATAAACTTACGTTTCTATGAAAATTGAAGCTTTTGTTTTTTTTGCGGCCCACATAAGCTTAAACCTTGTTTATTTAGCCTGTGTTAGCCTTTGAGTTTGATATGCTTGCTCTAAGCATAGTGGGAAGAGAGGGAATATACCTCAATGTAAAAAAGGCCACATATGACAAACCCACAGCCAACATCATACTCAATGGGCATTTCACTTAAGATCAGGAACAAGACAAGGGTGTTTACTTTCACCACTCTTATTCAACCTAGCCACAGCAATCAGACATGAATAAATAAAAGACATCTCAGTTGGAAAGGAAGAAGTATAACTGTCATTATTTGCAGATGACATGACACTATACAGAGAGAACTCTAAAGATTCCACCAAGAGTCTGCTCCGCACTCGGAACCGCCACCATGGCTGCCTACAAGCTGGTGCTGATCCGACACAGCGAGAGCGCGTGGAACCTGGAGAACCGCTTCAGCGGCTGGTACGACGCGGACCTGAGCCCGGCTGGGCACGAGGAGGCGAAGCGCGGCGGGCAGTCGCTGCGAGATGCCGGCTACGAGTTTGACATCTGCTTCACCTCAGTGCAGAAGAGAGCAATTCGAACGCTCTGGACTGTGCTGGATGCCATTGACCAGATGTGGCTGCCTGTAGTGAGGACCTGGCGTCTCAATGAGCGGCACTATGGGGGTCTGACTGGTCTTAACAAAGCAGAAACTGCTGCCAAGCATGGCGAGGCCCAGGTAAAGATCTGGAGGCGCTCTTACGATATCCCACCACCACCGATGGAGCCCGACCATCCCTTCTACAGCAATATCAGTAAGGTATGTACAAACTGAGGTTTGGGTCACTCAACCTAGGACCAGGGGATTAGAATATGGGCCACTCTTTTTGCAGGGGAGGCGGGGGGTTATTCCTTATCCGAGGATATTTTCCAGTGATTTTGAGAGAGAGTGGAAGGGAGAGGGGAAGAGAGAGCAATAGCAATGTGAAAGAGAGATTCATTCTTATGTGATCAGTAAAAGT